CCCGCCGCAAGGCCTCGGCCTCCCGCTCCGCTTTGGACAGGAATTTGGGCTGGGACAAGAGAGGCAAGTTTGTACCACAGCTGGCTGCAACCCCCTAGCCGCACCGACCCCGGGGCTGCCCCAGGCAGGGAGCAGCGTCCAGCAGGACAGGAATATCCCCATGTTACAGCTGCTGTGGACAAGGGGTGCTGAGGCCATGCAGGGAGGGAGGCCTCACACTCGTTCCCATGTGGGGGCCGCTCAGGCCCCTTGCAGCAGGGAGAAGGGAGACCCCCAAAGCAGGGAAAGGGTCCCTGCTCTTACCTTGGCTTCTGCCTCTTCTTCAGCCTTCTTCTTGGCCAGTAGCTCCTCCAGGGTAGAGCCCCTGAACTCTCCCAGTGGTCATCCCCTGCCCTGCCAGAGGCAGTAGCAGCCCCCCAGGACCTGTTCCCAGCCCAGCCTCCCCCCGTTTACCTTCTCCTTCTTTAGCGCGTTCTCATCTTCCTCCTCCACCTTCCGTGAGTCCCGATCCTTCCGGGACTTCGAATCCTTGCCCCTGCTTGGGGACAAGCTTCCGAGCAAAACAAAGGAGAATCAGGCACCGAGCGTAATCCCATCGTCACCCAGTCCCTTCTCTCGCTAGGGCCCAGAATAACGATTCCTACAGAGCCACACGCTCCCGAAGCGTCACTGTGCTCCACCCCAGCAACAGCTGCGTTTCCAGGCTCGGTCCCCTACACGCGCTCACAGAAAAGCTGGGCGGGAGACGAGAGCGCAGACACATAGACAGAGACGTTGAGAGAAGAGCGAGCGCTCACCTAGATCGCTTCCTGTCCTTATCCCGCCGGTGCCCATCTTTGTCCCGGTCGCGGTCCTTCTTGCTCCTGTCCCGGTCGCGGTCTTTGTGCCGGCGATCCCTGTGGAGCAGGGCAGTCGCGCACGGCTCAGCCCCCGCCCCGCGGTCCTTTTGGACGGCTTTTACACGCACCCGAGAGCGACAGAGCTCTCTCCTAAAAGCCAAGCGGTGCCTGGGCTGGGCCGTCACCCTCTGAACTCACCTGTCCGCCGACTTGGAGCGGGAGCGGGTGCGCGAG